CATTTTTTAAACTGTTAATGAGGTGATCTGAAAAACAAAAACAGAGGGACAGCAACAATCTAAAACATGAAGGCAGAGACAAATCTGCTTGTGAATCTTACTACAGAGAAGCTGTGATAATCTCTGTATGTGCAGGCGCTTAATGTCAATCCCAGATGATTTCTCCTAATTGGTCTAATCTCTCCTTCGCAGTCAGCTATTTACACAGAATGATAAAAGACTTCTCTCATTCCTTTAGGTACAGTTAGAACAGTTTTGTTCTATTTTCTGTGGTGCCAGAGTTTCTTTTCTCTCTCTCTGTGTGTGCGTGAAACCTGTTTGAAGGTTCAGTCAAACTCAAACACATAATCAGTAAAACATAAAGTAATTCTGAGATGTACAGCAATAGCTGTGTATTACAGCTCCGACTGTTGCACTCTGATAAAATAGCAGCAGCCCAAATGTGAATGTCTCTTTTATAAACTATACTGTATATCATATCAAATCTCAGAAACACAACCGTACCTAGTAATTCTTTGACAAATCAGTTTAATTCCCTCCTTTTAATTGCTTGTGCAACATTATGCAGATCAATTTCCCAGGCATTTAATACTCAGCAGCAGGTAAAACACCATAACAGCCTTTCACAGACTATGTTTCCCCATCACAATCAGCGGGAACTATTCAGAAACTTTCAAGTATACTAGCCTCCACAGAAGAGTAGAAAAGCCTCTCTCTACTGCTTTCAGCCACAATCACCTTGGTGCAAAACTTAAGATGGAATTACATTAAATATTGTCATGATTCGACTGGCTAACTACTGCAGCAGCTGTAGTGCTAATGAGAAAAGACAGCAGCCATGACCCCTTCATAGGTCAGACAGTCAACATAATAGCAAGTGGTTACATTTAATAATACAGTAAATACAACAGGGTTAAGACTGACAGAATAAAAGGAAAAGGCAACATTACAAAAATACAAGAGCACAACTATTAAAATAACCACTAATAACACAGGCATGTAACCCATGCTGAGTGCAAACAGTAATTTGGTTTAAAATGTGAAGCAGCTTTTGAAAAAAACCTCTTTCACCATAGTTTTGAATATTTTGGCAACTATCCTTGATTATTTCTGAAATATGCATATTCTTATTTTACCTAATACCTATTGTACTGTCTAGCATGTTGGGCCATCCAGGTTGTGTGATTTACTTTTGATAATTTGAATATAGTTAGATTTTGTTTTCCTACGCTGTTTCTCTAATTTCACTAGACATTATTGTTCAAAATACACATTAACTCATTCTTCTCTATGGCCTGTGTTCTCTGCTATGGAGGCACAGGAGGACAAAATGCAGAGCAAAGGCTCGTACACTCTGGGCAGGAAAAAAGTTCATGCTCTGCTTCAGGATCACAAATGAATGTGCACTCCACACACACACAAGCAAACAACACAAATGAGTGCTTCAAATCAGTCCCCACTGAGACGTTTGACTTCTGTGTGTGTGTGTGTGTATATATATATATATATATGTGTGTGTATAT